GATAATCCAGTATTTTCTGGATGATATATCATCATGATCATAATCATAGAATCAAATATTAACTTTCATTGACTCATGACTTAGTTTTATTAATATTATATTAATTTTCATCTTAATCATTGTGATTATTAATTTTTAGCAAGATTAACCCCACAATGTTTATTTTGGCCACAAAAGATCAGAAAAAGCTGAAATTTGTTATGCTAGATTTGAACTTTTCTGCCTTTGGACAATTAAGGTACAGTCGACCCCCCTATAAGATCATAGATACGTTCTATTTTTTAGGAATCCGATTTCTTACAAGTCGTTCCAATCACAGCCCGACACGTGTAAAGTTTATGGACTACGGCTGATTGAAAGGTTTTCTTCCATAAAATTAATCGATTCTAGACTAATCCAACTCAACATTTCCAAAATACGTATATATTTTTTGGAAACAATTCGTATAAACTACGCTATAAACAAAAAATTGTAGGATTACTTACCGAGTATGCACCATTCGATAACCCCATTGCTAAAGCTTGTTTTCGTCGCAAAGCAGCACACCAAACCACAACCGATTTCTGATAATTTATTTTTCTGCGAAAACTTCGTTGAACTTCGGAGACATCATTAATATAAATAATTTTAATCGCCGTTGAATAAGAAATGTTTCTTTCACAAGAAATGTATAAAATTACAGTACTGTATTAGACTTACGGTANGTAGCGTGTTGCCAGGCGGCAGAAAGTATATATATAATTATAATAAAGTTACAATAAATTAAGTTAATATGTAATTATATATACAGTACCTAATTTATATATAATTAATATATAATTATATGTACAGTACCTAATTTATATAATACTGTCCAGACGATAGAAATCTCTCCGTAGCGTGGCGCTACGGACGGCGGGAAAGTAGTTCGGCTGCCCGATGACGTTTAACGTAATTATAGGGGGGTTTTTTACGGATACCGTCACAATTTTTTCGCAGTTTTATAGGAATCGTAATTATTGGGACCGTAATTATAGGGGGGTCGACTGTACTGTACATTAAAATTTTCCATATGACTTGGTTGTGATCAGTTTTTAACTTACAGGGAGTTATCACAACAGCTTGAAACAGTAAAGGAATTATGAGCAGGATGGATAATTCAGTGATATGGATATAAAAATCTATTAATTTTGTCATGACAGCTGACACTAGAAGACAAGATTTAGATGAAGAACATTGCTGCTAAGTTACTGGCTCATTATGAGACAGATAGAGATAATTTCCTATTAAGAATTGTAACTAAAGAAGAGATATGGCTTCATTAATTTGACCCAGAAAGGAAATGGCAATCCATGAAGTAGCATAGCATGCTTTCCCTATGCAATAAAATTGAGACAATAGTTTCCCAGTAGGGAAAGTGATGGGAAACTGTCTTTTGGAGCATAAAAAAGAGTAATTTTGTTTTGAAACTATGGAGAATGGAACAACAGTAAATTCTAAGATATTTGTGGCTATGCTGCAAAGACTCCAGAGATACATAAAGTGAATTATTCAACTGTGTTCTCTTTTATGATGATGTCAGACCACACACCAGTTAAAATAAAATAAATTATACTTTATGCCAACTTTTGAATATATAATAACTACACTTAAGTGTTGTGGCATTACCAATATCTACTTTTAGCACATGAAAATGTTTGCTAGTACTTTCAGTAGCATAAAGTTAAAACTGTTTGAATAATGTAACCCATAATTGTGGGATTTCAAGGGTTGGGGTGTTTCAGGGTGTTAAAGCAGTTATGTAGAGGCTCTCCAAAATAAATAATTCTTTTTGATTATTGCACCATTTGAGTAATTTTGTTTGGGCCCAGAGTGGCTGATAATTTTGGTCAAGCACTTTTTTGCTAATTCCATTGATGGTCTACTGTTTCTGCTATTAGCAAAAAAGTGAAAAATTATCCGCCACTCTGGGCCCAAACAAAATTACTTAAATGGTGCAATAATCAGAAAGAATTATTTATTTTGGAGAGCCTCTACATAACTGCTATAACACCCTGTAACACCCCAACCCTTAAAACCCCACAATTATGGGTTATATTATTCAAACAGTTTTAATTCCTTTTTTGCATAAACAGGTTTGTTTTTGCTATTGTGCGCTATATAATCTTAGGAAATTACACCACTCATTATTACCGTATGTTTTTAGAACATCGTTTTTATACAAATTCATTTTATATTCCATCCATTTGCTATATTTAATTTCAAATATTGTTCAAAAATGTTAGATTTGATAGTTGTATTCGATATTCATCTGATGACGATACTGAAAGTACTAGTGAACATTTTCATATGCTAAATGTTGATAATGGTAACACCACATCACTTAAGTATAGTTATTATATGCACACCAGTTTTCAAACAAGAGACACCCTCACAAAATTGCTTGGATTGTGTTGTTTCATTCATCATACAGTTTGGTTTTAGCTCCATTAGACTTTCATCTCTTTGGTGCAGTAAAGAATGTCATTCATGAACAAATGTTGGTGATGAGGTTATCAAGGATTTGATGATATGACTGTATTATATCCACAGAACCTTTTCCAACAAAGTCTAAAGGGCTTTGTTTTCAGATAGTAGAAAGCCATAGAATCACATGGAAACTATATATGAAAATAAAGCTTGTAAATAAAACATATGAATATTTAGGTGCCAAATTTTGGCTTTTTCTGATCATTTGCAGCCTAAATAAGAAATATGGGGCAAAACTTAGAGTGACTTTCATAGTATAATAGTTTTATAATAAAAAATTGTAAAGAATATAATTAATTTTAAATCTAGCTTTATAAAACTTTTGTTTAATAAATTGACTTCATTATAAATTGATGATATTTTTAGGATATTGATGTTGTGTCAGTTCCTGATCATTCAATGTTGAAAAAACAAGAATTGCTTCCAGGTACAGCTTATAAATTTAGAGTTGCTGCCATTAATGCTTGTGGAAGAGGTCCTTGGAGTGAAGTGTCAGCATTTAAAACTTGCCTTCCTGGTTATCCTGGTGCACCATCAGCCATTAAAATTAGCAAAGTATAGTCAATTTTTAGTTAATTTTCAATTTTATATTAGTACTTAGTTATCAGTAATAATAAAAAACTAAAGTATTATGAGACTTTCATACTTTGTAAAAATATTAATACCTAATCATTTTAAGTCAATAGACTCAGTTAAAAATTAAATCAAATTCTTGCACTATTATATAATTTTTACAATAAAAACTAATATATTAGTTTTTATTGTAAAAATTTACATATAATAGTGCAAGAATTTGATTTAATTTTATTATTATATTTAGTTGTTACGACAGAATTTTAAAATATTTATTAACACAGTAATACAGTCAACTTACTTTTAATCTTTAATGTGAATCACAAGGCGAATAGTAGTTAGAACTCATTGTAGACTACATAACGTATCAATAAAACACACTCAAAACATCTTGTAAATGTGCAGCCATATTTATTAAACTCAAATGTTTTTGGTCATATTTAATGACCTTTATCAAGAATAAACGGAAAAAATCGAACTCTTAGAAAATTTACATTAATAATACATGCCTTTTGGGACTTTTTAAAAGATATTCCAATGAAATTACGTGCGCCATCTCTACAAAAGGCAAACATTAAATAAACACAATAAATATTAGCACATTAAAAAAATAATATGATGTTAAAGGTAAACAATAAAAATATAAAAGAAAATACAAAAATCATACAGAAATGAGTTGGGCGAAAACATTAAACTAAAGGGTTCTGCCAAGTATGCTGCCGCTTAGCCACTGTTCTTGACGCTTTCAATACACTTGATCGCCAGGCTGCCGATACTTTACTTGCTTCTCAGAAGTTGATACATTGTCCTTTTTGGCTGGTTTTGCAGATATGCCAGGCTTCTGCAGATCGGAGGTGCTTTTTGTCACAAACTATTTGTATTAATCTTGCATGGTCCCATTTAGCTTTGACTTCTTGGGGGTCTGCTAAGACGTAAGTCACCAGTGCTGTGCAAGGCTATTCGCTTTTTATGTTTCTTTGGTGTTCCAACAGCCTTTCCTTGAGTGATCTTACAGTGGTTTCGATATAAAACATCTTATTCTGCTGCCGTGTGTCTGTAATAGGGATTCTATAAACTCCTGGAAGAGAGTTCTTGTCCATAGCATCTTTGTCTGCCCTTAGCAAATGGTAGATAGTTGTATTCCTTTTATATATAATTCTTTAATATAAAANACTATTTTTTTTTTTTATCAATTATTATTCTATTATGGTTATTTATACATTTACAACTACAAAATGAATTTTTAGTGTTTTCCTTACTATAGTTATTATTTTTTTAATGTACTACTTAGCTTTAATTTGAATATGTTTTTCGTGTTGGAACGAATTATTTGGTTTTACATGTAATTGTATAGAGAAAAATGATTCACCTTACGACAATTTCATGATACAATCTCAGTTTCGGAACAGATTAATTTCATATCCTGAGGTACCACTGTATATTAAATCAATGTTTGGGATGCAATTTCAAAAAACTGTGGACTTATAAATTTCCACTGTTCTCCATCTGTCTGGTGTCTGTTCTTCCTCAATCTCAAGTATGGAGGTAGATGAAAATAGAGACCAGATAAGGAAAACTTACAGGCAAGAGACCCCAATTATGAACTTCTGCTGCACTGAAGTCACATTATTTCACTTCAAAAATTTTTCCCTTAAAAGTGTTAGATAGATAACTGGCACGACTCTATTGATAACAGGAAGAGTATGATGTACAGGGATAGACACTACTAATTTGATATGGAGAACATATATTTTAAATTAAATAAATTAAAAATTGCATCCCAGCATTGTGACAATGTCACAATATTATCAGTTATTTATAAATAACAGGATTTAATATATTAAATCTAGTTTTTTTTTTTTTTTTTTTTGGTAAAAGAAGGAAATATTTTATTTAAAAGTTTTAATTAATTTTTTCAGCTCATAAATCATCATTGATTCAACCAGATTCATCTATAGATACTGATCATTCTCTAGTTCAAAGCCAACCTCAACTTACTTTGGAACAACCTGGTGCACAGCCTCCAGCTCAGATGTGTGCAGATGATCCTCCACTTCAATCTGAAACAACTCCATTAAAATTTAGTTCCATTATTATGGAACAAAAGAGTTCTGAATCTGATTCAATAACAGAAATGAGTAATCCAAAAAGTAGTTTACTTACACCTAAAGTAGAAGGTAAATTTATAAACCAGATATTAAGGTGCATATTCTATATATTCATAAAATCTAAAATTTTTTTCTTAATGATCACAATCAGTTTTTGTGTGCTTATTTATATGCACATTAATATAAATACACATGAGATGGATGCAACTAATTCCCTTTTGGTACTTTTAACTTTAAAATGAAGAAAACTTATCCAAAATAAAAAAATTCCCTTAGTCTAAAATTGAAATTTTACACTCAAAAATTACTATCTTCTCTTGAATAGTTTTCTTTACAAAGAAGTTTATTCTTGTTGGGAAACAGTAGACTAAACAATTAGGCAGCTTCTATTGGGTACTTCAGAAACAATGGCTAAATAAACATTTTATTTAGATTGTCTTGATTTTGTTGCATTGATATACAATTGATATCAATTTCAGTTTTTAATCATACATGTTTAAAATAACATTTTAACAATTTAATAATGTTTTAAGTTAAATTGAAATATTTAAGTTATTTATTTATCCTGTTACTACACACATTACTTAACAGCATTTGATTACTGCCCATATAACAAACCTTGAAATAACATTAAAATGAACATAAAACAAAAATAACACAGTATTAAAGAATAAAACAAATCAGGAAAGAGAGAGCAAAAGAAAATAAAACATTATAAAAATATGGCAAACCAATACATTGCATATTATGATATAAGCATTTTTTAAATAGTCATTTATGTTTACAAAATTTTTAATGTAATTTGTTCTCAAGTCCTTCCATTGAAAGTATTGTGTGATTTAAATACTTTTTTTTATTGTATTTAAACTGTTGCTTTGTTAATAATAGAATTTTAAAAATTACTTGGTAAAATTTACATTTTTCATATCAAACACAAAAATATGAACTGATTATATCATTTTTAACATTAAACAGTTCAAAATATTTAAACATATATCAAATAATGCCAGATTTCTTGAATTATGATTTTGTTATTCTTCAAGCAGGTTAGTATTGGATCTAAATTATAAATGAATTTATAGAATACAAAAAAATGGACATAACTATAATTCAGAAATTTGAGCATTGTTTGATTTTGCATTTAGATTATCCAATATTTCAATAAATTTGGCATTATATTGGTATGTATTAATTATAATTTATTAATAATGAAAAGTTAACATTGCAAAATATTTTAAGAAAAATGTTTCAAATAATTAAGATTTACATTTTCTATATTTGATTTAATAGATCCTTTAGCCACATTGGCTAGTGCTGCCATATCAGCCAAATCATTGGCATCTACAACTTCCACTTTGATTACTTCTGCAGTCAAACAAGATACACAATTATCTTCACAGTCTTTAGCATCCAATACTACTACAAATGGAATAATGTCCATTAAATCTGAACTTCCAGAACCAAAACAGGTATTTGTTAATTATAACCATTATCATTCCTCCTTTTGATGAAATGAAGAAAAATTAATAGTTTTAATTTTTAAATGTTTGTAACTAAAATGAAAATTAACACATATATGTACAGTAGAGCATCAATTATCGAAATCAATTGGGGACTGGGGTTGTTCGGAAAATCGATTTTTCTGATAACCAATTATGTACGAAAAAATATTATTAACCTATCCCATGTTGAAATTTGTTAAAATCCTGGCACGTCCTTAAGTACCCTCTCCTGGTCACACCAGTGCTGCCAGCTAAAACATGCACACCAACAAAAATAATATCAGAGTAGGTCAAGACATAGCCAAAGATTGCAGTGCCACAGCACTAGCGGAAATTTAAATTTGCTGACTGAAAAGCTTTCGGTTAATTGACGTTTCGGTTGATCGATATTCGATGCTCTACTGTAAATTTAAATTGTCTTGTTTTTCTCACCAAGTAATAAAACACATATAAAGGCAAAAGAATCAATGTTTAAATAGTTTAGATTTAAATTACATTTATTTGCAGAACAAATGAATTAAAATTTATAATATTTAATCAAGTATTTTTGTCCAGTTATTTTAAATATCCTTATATTTAAAATGATGAGCGTTCTAAATGTAGCTAAACATTCAGAAATAATAATTAAAATGCATTAATATAAAATGAATAAGAATAATAAAACTCCAACTCTGCTTATTGGAATTCACAAATTTAAATTAGATATTCTTTCTCATTTGTTTGAAGGAAAAAAGTTTCCAAGAATTTAAAAATCTCACTTATGTACAAAAATAAGGGAGTTAGTTTCCCTTGCAGGATAACAGGATAGTTGTTACTCAAGTGTTGACAGTTTTATGATTTTAGTTTAGCATGTTAGTGAACAGCTGCAAATGATTTTGTAGAGAAGTTCAGACATGGTTTTTCTTGTAATGATGGACTTGATTGTCTGAAAGTACATTTTAAAAGAAAGAGAGACAGACTTAAATTTGCAAGCTCCAACAAAAGAGTTTAGGTATTATTATAAAAATTAGAGTTTGTTCATTTATAAAACAAAATTTAAAGTGAATATATGAATGCTAATAAAGATTAAATTTCATTCTTTTAAAATTTTTCTTTTTAAAATGTTTAACTTATAGTTTTTTCTTCTGTAGGAAGTTTCTTCAATAGATACAATTACCGGTAAACAAACTATTAAAAAAGATAATCAGTGGTATGATGTAGGAATATTTAAAGAAACATCTAGTGTGGTATCACATTTTTATCTGCCATCAGAATCATCAGAAAAAAAAGATGATGTAAGTAATATTTAAACTCGTTTTTTATTTTTATGAGAATTAATTGAAAGATAAAATTTGTTTGAGAATAGGTAGAATAATATAACTAGTTTTTAAAAAGTAATAAAAAATTTATTTTAATTATACATTTATTTTTCAGCATAATTACAATTCAAAGTAACATTTTTTCACGAAGTATCCATTATTACATTTTATGTATGAAAAAGTTTTTTGGTTTTTTCTTGAGCCATTCCTATACAGGAACTTGAACTTTGACATTAACCCAAAAAAAGATCTTTTAACATTGCCTTTAATGTTGGGAATAACCAGTAGTCCGATAATGCCAAATTTAATTCATAATGAAGAAACAAAGTAATTTGTAACTGCACATTTTTAAGTATCTTTAACTGTTTTCTTATTATAGTGTAGTCCTGCATTATCATAATGCTTTAATAATTTTCAGTTTTTATATTCTTAGTCTTTTCAGTATTATTTAACTTCTTAGTCATAAACTGCTGAGTATTCGTGTCTTATTTATTTGATATATAACAATTAGGGAATTCGATCCCGGTCCTTATTTCTAATCCCGGGATTTCGGGATTATACTTATTCGATCCCGGGATTATTTCGGTATTGAGGGTTAATAAAAAATAAGAAAATCTTACAGAAATTAAAAATCAAAATTTAGACAAAAATCAACGTATTTTACGGTATACACTTAGTTAATTTAATCACTCTAATTAATCAGACTTACAGTCAGACTAACCAGACTTAAAATCACTGTCTTCATGTTAAATTTATTCTTTTTTAAGCATCACTGAGATCTCTTTAAACTCACATAAATTGAAAAAACTTTTATGTAACAAACTATGCAAATAAAC